AGTCCATTATTATATATATATATATATATATATATAAATAATATGAAGGCATGATGGTGTAGTGGATAGCGGCTCAGATTGAGGAATCTGAGAGCTGAGTTTGAATTCCAGTTGAATCCATTACATTCACTTACATGCTAATACCCTTGGGAAAGGTATTAATCCTCTTCTCCCTCCAACTATGGGTACATAGAACAGACTAGGTTCTATAGCCTTGGATGGCAACTGGTCTAGGAGAAGGATAACTGAATTCAAAACCTGCAGAGAGTCATTTGGGAACCTTGTGGCATGTAGAGCACAAGGTCTCTCTATTTGGCTCTTCAAAAAGTGTCTTTGGTTCTGCACGAAGCCTTTACCACTATAATCAAATTATATGTCCTAGTGTCTGGGCTGTCGGTTCCTAGGAACTGAGCTGCTTGACCCTCATATGATGGGAGCGTCCACCATATATATATGGTGCAATTAGTAAATTGTATATATTTTTAATTTTATGCATGCGCGTTGTTTTTGATTTTTCAAATGAACAGCACAGTATTGTCAGTTGGTTGCTGTTTGTGAGAAAAAAGAGCACGATGATGCAATTCATTCCACAAGAAATTTGGAAAAAGCATACTGTACTGCTTGGCATTCATTCTGGAAACTCCAATACAAATATTTCAGGACTGTGCACCATGACACACAAGCAGAACCCAGTCATGGCTGTCAGACAATTTCTATGACTATATCATCACTTGCATCTGGCCACCAAATCCCTCAAACTGCAACCCCCTTGATTATTATGTGTGAGCAAAACCCCTTGTAATGCCAAAGATTATGGCAGCATTCACCAATTTAAACACGGAGACCGTCCAGAAGAGTTGCAGGAGATTCTGAAGTTGTATAGAAGCCTTGGTTGAAGCCAATGACGATTTTATTGAAAAAATTTACTCTTTAGTATTTCAAGTATTTTGTATAATGTTAAATATATGTGTTAAAATCAGATGTGTTATTTTCATTTTTGCATAATTTATCCATCGCACCCTGTATCTATATATATATATATATATATATATATATATATATATATATATATATATATATATAAAATGTGTGTGTTTGGGGTTATGTTTGTGGGGTATATATGAATTTCAGTTCTGGTTCACCGAATTCCTTCCAGAACTTGCTTAGTATGAAGTGACATTTTTCATTTAAAAGTTTTGTAAGAATCTGAATGAAAAACATGATGAAAATAGACAGCATCAGTGTTAAAATAACGAGAAAAACCTGATGAAAATGGCCAAATTTTATGTTAGAATAATGTGAAAATACAGTCCAGTAAATGGCATATGAAATAGTTGAACATGGCAGAGACACAGGGTGTTCCACTATCATTGCATCCAGCAGTGAAAAGGTTAATACCTCTTCCAGTTTGAAAACCTTTGTATAAATAGTCTGTAAGAGCCACTTGTAAATCTACCATTTTCTATCCTACTTTATACTTAATAATAAAGTCTAGAATCCTGGTCAAGCAGCTGGGCTTTGTCTGTCAAATGCACAAATGTTATCTTTAATTGCTTGACCACTTTTAATATAAACGCCTTAAAGATACCAGCTGTTCTACTTGAGAAGTCAGGAAGTCATTAGAATATAAAGTAAAGAAGTGTCTGAATTGAATATGAATAACATTTCTTTTAACATTGAAATGCTACCAAAGACACTTGAAATGAAGTTGTACAATTTCATATACTTGAATTTTTCAAATGTGAACTGTCATATTCATATTATGTATATCAATGTTTTTACAATAAAATTGCCATAAACCAACCAATGTAGGTGAAATTTCCAGTATATATGTATATGGACAATATATCATATTTATCCTTATGCCACATTTGTGTATAACAAACTGAAACATTAAATTTTTATTTATAAATAAATCCAAAAGTTACATTGCAATAGTGAAAGACACATTCCAACAGTTATACAAAATATAAAAAACAGGAAAATTTTATTATAAATTTATCTTTGTTTTCAAAAAGTTCTTATACAGGATGTGGTAGAAATACCTCCTACATACACTACCCAGAAATATTTCCTTCATAATGGTAACATATTAGCTAGATGTAGACACCATTGTCACTAATGTCATACCATTATGTGGGAGGTATTTCTGCTGCACACTATATTACAATAACTTACTCTCTAAAAATTTTAGTGCATTTTGCCTAAAATATAAAATTTTCAAGTGATTTCTTATAGAAAATAATATTAGAATGTTATGACCACGTTCCATGTGTCTTGTCCTTTGAGGATGTAGGCAATCATGGCTCTCTACAACTTCTTATTTATTCTTCATAGCTCTAAGTAATGTTTGTCCACTTACTATTCCTTCCAGTCCATGTTCTGTCATCTGTTTACTCACTTTTTCCCTCTGCACCTCTTGACTTCAATATGTCCTGTAAGTGTCAAATTCTCCAAGCTTTCTTTCTTCATTATTTGTCCCAAAATGTTCAGCTGTTTCTTTCTGATCTTAAACACCAATGTCTTTTGAATTCTTCTTTTCCTTAAAACTTCCTCATTGCTTGCATGTTCTGTCTATGGTATTATCAGCATCCCTCAATAAAACCAGATCTCTGTTGCCTCGTTTCCTCTTTATCTATGTGGAAATTCTCCAGCATTTACTGCTATATAGGAAGATTGCTATTACACTTTTCTTTGTTTCTTTAAAGAATTTTCCTTTTTCTTAATATTATTTAGCTTTTGTAAGGCATGTTTCACTATTCCAATGTGCCTACTGATTTCTGTGTAACATTTTCCATTGTCTGTCATTATGATAATACTCTCTTCAATTTTTTTTTTCATTCTAAATTTATATTTAATTATATATATAGATCAGAACAGTGCAAAGCCATTTGATTTAGTGTAGATCATGGTAATCTTTATTTAAAGCTATTTTATTGTGCATGTCCAAAACTGTAGGCCGATCTCGAATCTCATAATTCCACTTGGAGTGAAGATTTTTAGTTTTGGTCTGGCTTTGAAGTATTTCACTGCTGTTGAAATTCAAAGAGAAAATATCTTGATTAAGAGCATAATTAATTTGGCTCAAAAACTTAATTCTCATTATCTTTTTATTTTGTTTCTTACGATGGTTTTATTATATATATAAATATATAATTTGGTAGAGATTCAGATCTGTCACTTCTTACCCAGCTAACAAGGATATACGAAATGTTATACGCATTTTAATCTTTGAATCCACATTAAAACAGTTTTAATGAAACAAAAACCATTATCAGAACTATTAATTCTGGAACAAAAAAAACATGAGTAACTTTTTAAAATTTATTTTATTGTTGATGTATTTTGTAATAAATATATATTATGATCATAGAAGTATCTTGAAAAAAATTGACTCTTAAGAATGTGTGGATTAGCATTAATGTCTTATACACCAACTGGCACCATGTAATCCAGAACTATCTTGTAGGGTCAATTGCTATCTAGCACAATGGGATAGACTGGTCTCCATAGCTATGTATGCAACCGGTGCAATGATGACATAACATCACTGAGCAGCAGACCGAAGTCAATGGCCACAGTGAAGGTTTCCCCTGATGGAATCAATGTCCGTGTGTCTTTGACCAAGATGGACCTTCAAGTTGGTGGAAAATTGACTGTAGTTTGATATTAAGGATGAGCTCTGTCAGGTTTACTTGCCCAAGACATGCTACACTCAAATGAATACTTCTCTGACTTTATGTGGAAGGAATTGGTAAAGTGTTTAACTGCACCATGACCCTACAACCACAGTTGGTCCTGGGGCTTATGATAATGAGGATATCGTTACCTTGATGGGTATACATTTTTTATATAGTCATAAAATATTTTGTTAAATAGTAAAAATCTAAGCCTATTTTTGAAAAATGTAAAAGTCTACTATTTATTTTTGCTTTTTATTTTGTTTTGTTTAGAAACAAGGGGAAATTAATTTTTTTTAATTTTCTGCACTTGCTGTCAAGGCTGCATCCATTTCTCTCTGTTTTTAATTTGTATAATAAGTGCTTTCCTGGCAACCTCTACCATTGAGATGGTTGGCTCATGTTCAAACTACAAGGAACCTATTTAGAACCAGGGCATGTCTTTTATATAACAAATATAGTTTGTATAACTGTACATTTTAATGAAGAAAAAAACAAAAAAATCAAACAGGAAAAGCAAAAAAAAAAAAAAAAAAAATCCTGCCCCCAAATACAAGCACCCCCAATAAACGGACACAAAAAAAAAGAAAAAGAAGAAACAAAAGAAAAGAAAAAAAAAGAAAAAAGGAAACAAAAACTTGTAAAAATTATAATAATGTACATAATACCCTTGAAACTGCTGAGTTTTCAAGTTTCATAGCCAATGGCTTGTACAGTAGAGGAAATAATTTTGGCTATAAAATATAACAATTTTTTTTTTTTTTAAATAATAATTGTTATTGATAGTGTTGTTTCCGAAGAAATTGAACAAAGATCATTTTCATAAGAGATTACATTATCTCTATCATAATATATATGTATGAGAGGTATGGTGGATTAGTAGATAGTGACTCGGATTGAGGATTCCATTTGAATCCATTACATTCACTTACATTCTAATACCCTTGGGAAAGAAGGACAACTGAATTCAAAACCTGCAGAGGGTCGTTTGGGGACCTTGTGGCATGTAGTGCACCAGATCTCTGTGTTCAGCTTTTCAAAAAGTGTGGTTGTTTCTGCACAAAGCCTTCACCACTATAATCAAATTATATGTGCTAGTGTCTGGGCTGCCGCTTCCTAGGAACTGAGCTGCTTGACCCTCATATGTCGAATATGATGGGAGAGTTCACCATATATATATATATATATATATATATATATATATATATATATATATATATATATATGAGAGAATCAATATATAAAATATATTGATGTTTTTTTTTTTAATACTAGTAGTACCTGTTAAAATTTCAGTTATCTGGCTTATGGATCTATCACATTGAAACACTGGTTCTCATATGATCACTGAAGTTAAGCAATGTCAAGTCTGGTCAGTACCTAGATGGGTGAACACTTTGGAATACCAGGTACTGTAAGCTTGGATGTGCTGGCGATGTAACAGTTCGGAATTGGAAATCGGAGAGTCTAGTTCCTATTCCAGTTAGGTTTGTTATATTCATTTACACACAAATACCCTTGAGAAAGGTATGAATCCACCTCTTCTCCCCCACCATTAGGTTAATTATTAGGATCTTTATCTGTAAATCATTAATGTCTCCAAAAATTCTTTCAATCTAAAATATTTTTTTGGCTTTAAATAACCTGCAAAGGGTTGATAAGCTGTAAAAAAACTATTGATCGATCAATTCAGTTTTCTTGTTTTGATTTTTTTTTTTTTAATTTCTATTGTCATAATTCTTAATTTATTGCTTGCTATTTTCACAACTATAAAATACTTGAGGAAATTCCACTATTTTATCATTAAATATTTGAGTTTATCAAAATATGGGAAACATTTATTTTTATTATTGTATATCCTATTGTACCCAATTGTCTCTTTGTATCCTGAATTCCACCTAAAATCTATTTCATTAATGAAGGAGAATTGTCGAAGAAACTTGAATAATATTGAAGATATATAGAATTATAAAAGATGAAAATAATGTCCACTTTAACCATTTCTTTCTTTTTCTCACTAAAACCAAACAGCATCTCAGATATATCTTTTTTCTTTTCTTTCATCTTTCCTTGCAGTTAAAATGGTATGGGCCATTATTTATCTGAGGTAATAGCAAGGCATGTGTTAACAAGCAGAATTATAATATGGTATTTAAATATATATTTTTTTTTAATTGTATTTTATTTCATTGAACAAGATTGACAAGGTACTTTCTTTTTCTTTTTTTTGTATATGTACAAGTGATTTCTTTCTTAGACTTGTTGATTATAAAAATTGTCCAAAAAGACAAAACATGTGACACCAAATTTTTCCACTTTGTCATTCAATTGCCAAACAGATTTGTCTATCCTATCTTCCTCAGTCTTTTGCTTTTAGTAATATACCTGTGACATCAAGTATGATGAAATTACTGGCTGTAATTTGCCATGAGAAGTGTTTGGTTTTACTAAGTTTTTGGGGTATAAAATTCTATATATATAAAAAAAAAAAAAATGATACTCAGTAGAGCCTGTTATTTTAAAAAATTATGAGAAGACCTGTTGTTATTTATTTTATGGACACCTACATAGAAAAGGAACATGTGGTTTTATCTCGATCTCAAGTGTTTTTTGTTTTATAGCCAGCAGGTGGTTGCTTTTGAAGTCTAGTTTTCTAAGTGGCCTCCACTTTGACTGAGGGGAATGGGAATGTAAAGGAGTGGATGTGAGGTTTTTGGAGATCAAGTGACAAAAAAGTGGAAATAAAGTGTATCTGGGTACTGGTTTATATTAAGTCTTGCTTGGGGTCAGGGAGTTGGTTCTTGTTTGCTCTTAGACATGTCCATCACATGCTTTGGATGCCATCCACTCATATTGCCATCCGCATGTTGGGATGTGTAGATAGGTAAGGGGTTGGTCGGGGGAATAGCTAATACAGCAGAAGTTGTCCTAAGTGTCGACTACCTACACACTCAGACGAGCAAGTGAAGCACTGAATAAAAATATCTATTTTATAATATGGAAAGCAAGATTCATGTTATCATTACTCAATGTGACATTTGTCTTGTTACCTTGTGAGCATGCAGCAAGCCCTTTCCCAGTTATCAGTGGAATGAGATTGAGGATCAAAATGCAACATGGGATAATCATTGGTCAGTTGGTGAATAATACAAAGTGCTCAACGCTTATAACAAATAAACTGACAGAGTATTAACTAACCAAAGACACCACAAGAGTCTAGGTCCAAAATAGTTGCATTGTATGTTTACATCTTTATTTCCCTGAATATAGATTTAGAAATTGAAAGTTGTGATGAATGAGCCTCTTAAATGGTTGAGGTATATTGGTGTTTATTTGAACAGAGCATGAATGATTATATTTATTATCGTCAATACTTCATTTCTGTAGAGGCCATGAAAAAATACAGTATCAAAATTTACAATGATAGGCTTCAAAAAAAACAACCTTTATGTTCTTCTTCTTTGTATTGTTAGCTTATTTTCCTAACTTTACATTATGCTGTCAAATGAAATCTGTCTGTTAAATATAACTACATCCATCATAGTACCAAGTAAATGCTATAAAAATAAGAAAGAAATGGATATCTATTGATTAGAACTTGTTTGTATCTTTGGCATTGGTCTAATAATATTTTCCCAGGAAATTATATTGATTTTGATAGTTAACTCCTGATTGTGTACAACAGTTATTTTTTATTATGAGGAGCAGCTGAAAAATTACTAGACTGACCTAATTCGGAAAATCTGACTAAATGACCAAACATTTTTTTTATTTATTTTTTATTTTTATTTTTTTCTGAACGGATTTTTGATAGAACTGGAATTTTTTTTGCAACAAGCTGATGTGTGTTGAAATCCTTACAGTATTCAGTATTATTGAAGTATCACTAACATTTTTTCCGTTGTCTGCCAACATGAAGTGGAAAGATCAATTGCTAAGTCTGCTGCTAGGAAAAGTGATTGGCTGTGTCATGCTAGATAATTTTTCTTGACAGAATCTATCTTACATATTTATAAGTCTACCATTCACCTTTACTTTGAATATTGTTGCCTCATATGGTCTGGTGCTCCTGCTATATATTTAGAGATTCTTGATAAAATCCAAAGAACATGCATCTCGGCTTCAGTAGCTTCCCTCAATAGCAATTATTCTAATGAACTTATGTCTATGGTACTTAGACTTTCTGAATTTAAGCATAAAACTAGATTGGTAGTAAGGTCTCATCATTTTAGTGTTGGAATTGCTAGATGTAAGCATAGGTTTTATACTAATGGTTTCTTGTATCACATTTCTTGCTTGTGGAAATCTCTTCTGGCTTTCCAGTTAACTTTGATCTTCAAAAAATTTAAATGCAATCATTATCTACTGTCTTCTTAATTCCTGTTCTTGTTTTCTCTCTTTAAGTGTTTTTTTTTTCTCTCTCATATTCTCTAACCCTCAGTAATCTCTTGCATCTTAGTGGCTTTATAGCATTGCTTGGGGTTAAATGATTTAAAAAAAAATCTATAGATGGAGAGAGAAAAGATGAATTCATGCCTTTACTTAGTGTATTAGTGTAGAAGTGAATACAACAGACTAGACTATAATTTGATCTCTGCATGCTGATTCCACCTTTCGTGCTAATAACCTTTATGACACACACACACACACATCATTGCTGATGGGTTTTTTTTTTGTTCATTTAAAGCTTGTCGTATTATAAACTTATAATGCCATATAGTGGTATGTTTCAGCACTTTAGATTTGTACGCTATAGGCCAAAGGTTTTGGGCCACTCTCTGAGTTTTGGAAGAATTGCCAAAAAATTTATGGTTTCATGCCTTTTTCAAAACTAATTTACTAGGGACTTTCTTTTCCTAAATATATTTAATAATAATAATAATAATAAAAAATTCGTTATTGCATAAATTTTATTTAAAATGTTATCCCTTTTTGTTTAAACTACCTTGCAGGCTAATGGTAATCTTAGGGCTGGTGCATTTTAATTTTAGGCAAAAAACTGAATGTCATGCACTAATAGGTTTCTTCTTTCTGGGCGATTTTGTCATATATTCAATAATAGTAATAATGAAATTAACTCATTACTGCATAAAATTTACTTAAGATTTCCATGGGAAGAATGAAGTTGTAAAGAGAATAAAAACTACAAAGAAACTGCTTGTAAAAATCAGAAAGAGACAGCTGAAATTTTGGGGACACATAATGAGAAAAGAAAGCTTGGAGAATTTAATACTAACAGGGCACATCAAAGACAAGAAATCACAGTGAGTAAACTACTTGACAACTTTGTGTTAATTGATGGGTGCATGAGTAATACAAAGAGAAAATATTGTTGGAAGCAGAAAAAACACAGGAACCTGAAGACACCTTTACTTTAAAAAAAAAAAAAAATTGCATCAACACTGATGGCCAAAACTTTAAGGCCACACTCTAGATGTTGAAAATTTGCCTAAAAAATGAAGTTGCATGTCTCTTTCAAAACTAATTTTAGGAACATACACCAGTGCCCATGATAACTTTGCTGGGTGTGTTGCTGTGGGCTATGGTGCTATTCACAGTTGGTCATATTGTCTAATAGTTTGTGTTGTGATTTCCAGCAAGAAGAGAGAAAGATTATTTACTTTCTTCCGTTCTTGCCAAGCTGTGGCGTTCTTTTTGTCTGGATACTGGGTGAATAATGCCTTTGTAGGAGCAGATGACTCAACAAGTGGAATTATCTTTAATAATAAAGATTTATTAAAAAGATAAACAACAAAAATTGTCCAGTGGAACTAAGTTATTTCAACATGGGCGGTAAGTACTAAAAGGTAAAGAAAAAGGGTGTTGGTACTTGCCTTTCTTCAATTCAGTTGTCCACTGCTAGAAAATTTGTAAAAGTGAAATTACTTTTCAGGTGTGCTTGATTCAACAAGCTAATTGACACAGATTGATACTGTAACTGAGCTCAAGAGATTAACTGACTCACTGTGTATTCCAGCGACTCAGATTTTGTGTCCTGCATGATCAGAGTTGATGACAGGTGTCCAGAGTCAGATAAATTCCTTTGTCCCCAAAATTATATATGAATATGAGCAGATTGGAGAATAGTATAATTTAGGTCAGTGAAAACCTGCTAAAATTCAAATTTCAAATTCAGAATTTCACTCTAGCCTTACGTGATATGATTCATTCACATTTGAATTCAGGTATCACCCTTTTTGACCTCTTTATTTAGAATTCTCAGTTTCAAATTCTCACAGTTCCAATTAAGAATTTTAAAAATTTATTCTTATTTTCCAAGCTGATTTTCAATCTTTGCTTCTTTCCAAAATTATATTCAATTTAACATAACCCTCTCATTTCTTACTCAGAAGAGGTATCTGGGAAGTGTTGAACCACTTTTGAAGGTTGTCCTGATATTAAGCATCGTGAATATGGCA